TGGAGTATGTGAGGACAGATGGACGCCGGGATTTTTGAAACGAGTGCGGATTGCAGGGGTGATTTGTGCAACTCACTATAGCAGGTGTTAAACATGCGACGGCTCTTTTGTTGCGGTTTTAGGACTCGAGTGTAGGCAGACGAAAGAGTTTGCAGGCGGTGCATGTATGGCAGGACATATGTTTGCTTTTGTTGGGAACAGCATGGCGAAGAAGCAGGAAACAGGATGGGTGGAGTTACACTGGAGGAGGCTTGTGCTGTGAGAGAGATGAAAATAACCCATAAGATGCAATTCACCTGTTCATTAATAAAGTGATCCGCACAGCTGTTTAGTGAACAGTCATAATTTAAAGTTGAATATCCTCAGTGTGATGTAGTGAACCGAACATTTGGATCAGGGTTGGTGGAAACTTCAAATCGTGTCTTTACAAATGTCAAATGTCTTCAATTGTCCTGATTCAGGACACACAGCCTTGAAACGTGCTTGCAGAGCGATTCATAGAACTGGTGCCGACTTAATATGAGCAGGAGCCGTGACATCTCAGGCCTCAGTGCAGCGACGGTTAAAGCAAACTTTAATGAAACATCTGAGCTGAACGGCGCGCACGTCTGTGTTTGAACAGGGGCTTATAACGGCAGACATGAAAGACTCGAGCGCCTTTGGAGCTTTTCTGGTTTCACATGTGGCTCAGCTGCTTGGATTCCCAATTTTAAAAAGTTATCAGCACATCTTGGACCCACACATCTTTAAACTTGCGTTTCCCCACATGCTAGCTGCTGAGTCTGTTACAGATCTGAGACAAGGCGTTCGTTATCTTGCCCAAGAACACTTCGACATGCAGCCTGGAAGACTGAGATTGAACCACGGATCCCCTGGTTAGTACCTCCTAAGGCCTCGGCCACACAGGACTGGAGATCAGTTGGCAGCAGCTATGCTTGGGAAAAATGTGTATTCCTGAACTGATTGCTTTCTGTTATCAAGTCACAAAGAGGGAGCTGAGCCTTAAACAGAGCAGCAAGCTGCTCCCCTGGAGTTTGCATTGAACGTGTTGATTTGTTTGCAGGTAGTTAAAGTCGCTAGCTACCAGCCGAGCGGCCCTTTGCTGCGTGTCTTCCCTCACACTCTCCCTGCTTTGCTGTCCTCTCGTCACTCTCTAGTAAACTGGAACGTAAAAAGGCTTCAATCATTGGTCCATTCCAGAAACAACAATCTGTTGGACTTGATCAATCCCAGGGCTCCTCCCATTTTACCACCATTGCCCTCCACACTCTCTGAAGGGAAAATGATCAACCAAAAAACCAACAAAACTCAGGAAACACAGTGGAAGTGTGACGAGCTAACAGCTATTTACTGTTAGCTTGATTAAAGCTCCCATCACCTGCATCTTTTTCTCACAGCAGTGATGAATCCTCTGCTGGTTTCTGTCACTTCCACAGCTGGTCCGTCACATTATTGTGTCCCCAGAAACACTCAGGCAAAAACTCCCCAGGAACACGGAGAGGCTGACCAAGGACCAGCTCAGCCGGAGAAACCCCGAGGTCCTCCTTTACTGAGCTGCACAATCCCACGGAAGATGGTCGACCCAGTTGCCACCCGCTATGTAGGCAGTTGGCAACAGTGAGAAGGAAAACCACCCTTTTAACAGGAAGAAGCCTACATATGTGAATAATCTTCAGAACATGCGGGCATACTTTATTTTTTTTAAACTTTAAACTCCTCTTCAGTCACCCGGCTGCTTATTACTGCGTCAGCCCCACTTTCTGCCACCAAAAACTGCAGAGTCAGCAACTCTAAAATCTGCCCTTTTGTAATTGGGATCAAAGAGTTTTGAGGCTCATTAATCAGCCTTCAACTCTTTGTTGTGTTTCTTCGACTTTAGATTGATTGCACTTCACCGAGTTTTTGGTCTGCACTAATGTTTAGGTGCTGTCTAACTCCCCGGCAGATGATCGTGTTCGCTGTTTTCTTTATCAGTCAGAGGTTTTAAAGGGGACATGAAATGCGACACAAGGCTAATTTACACCACTGAGCCCTGCTCTCATAACCTGACATGGTGTGAAGCTGGATTTAAGAAAGAAGAGCTTAAAGTTTCAAAACACGTTTAGCGCCATCTTCTGTCAGTGTGGAACGTGACATCATGTGGTTGGTTGGGGCTGTTGGGATTAAATAATTTGCAGTGCTTCAATAATGCTATGCTTTTTATTAACAGACTTGCATTCGTTTATGTTAGCTAAGCAATGGCAGAACCGATAATACAGAGGAAAATAACGACACTAAAACTAAAAATCACTGTAATGGGACCTTTAATGGTGTGGCTGGTGTTTAGTGGGGGAGTCGTGTGTTTTAGCCTGTTGGATGAACTTGCCCTTTAATTGTGCCAGTTGCCTTGCAGCAGACAGTGGCAGAGAGCCTGGGAGGTTTGACTGTGAGCTCACAGAGAGACCCGTGGGTCTACAGTCCACCTCCTCTCCCCTTGGCACTCATTATTAATTAAACTTGTTGAAGTTTGAGGCTCACCAGTTTGCTGTGGCTGCGAGCAGAAATATAAACCTCACATCAATCCCCCCACCGTGTCTCTGACAAGCCTCATTCTTAATTGAAAACGCCCGACTGACTGCAATTTCAAAAGTGGATGATTGATTGATCAAGCCCAGAAGCTAGACAGCGTCCCCTGCGAGGAAGGCCTTCAAATCCGCAGCGAGGCTGAGCAGAGTTCATTTGGATACTCGGAGAGATGAATGAGCACAAGCAGTCTGGCAAATTGAATTCTCACTCGTAGGCAGGAATTTCTTAATTGTGCGTGACAAATTTCCCAAACAGAATCTGGAAAGTTTCATCAGCCCGTCCATTTGTCTACCCGTCTGCCCCTCTCTAGGCCTGTCGGTCCATTTCTGTCCTCGATCCGCTCGCATAGATGTTTAAAACCGGACAGAAGCTCATTTTATACATGTTTATTATTCATTTTCTCACCACGATTTCCCCTTTGGCTTTTTCATAAAATGAAATGCATGCATCATCTCAACGATGGGGCTCGTGAGCGTCGTGCAGTAAAACACTCCACCCAGATCCTGAAGTCTTTCTCAGCTGCAGCAGCTGTTGATATCTACTATCAGACCCCGCTACTGGTTTGATAGCTGGAGGCTCTATCTCCCATTTTACTTTAAAAAAAATAAATAAAAAAAAATAACAGAGGAAGCGCAAGTAAACCGACAGTCTGAGAGAGAAGAGCTCTGCTGAGGTCTTTAAGATATGATGTGGTCTGATTACTCGATAACTTGTGCTTGTATGTGAGGAGACGGATTCAAGGACACGATTGAAATCAACTGTAGCGCTTTCAGGATTTTAGTGGTTTGTGTTTGCATCATCGATGTTGTGTAAGAAAGGAGTTCTTGTTTTGGGGGGTTTCAGGTGGCTGAACATGGTCTGCTCTTTAGCATCATTCTTGTCTCTTCAAAAAACGGAACGGGGAAGTAGGGGTGGGCGATATATCGAATATACTCGATGTATCGCGAGTTGTTCCGCATGCGATAGTTAAAATGGCTCTCAGTTGCCATGGCAATATTAAGCCATCTACATGTAATTTACTGGAAGTATTTTTTCCCACACGCTGCGAATACGTCATTAATAACCCCTCCCAACCTGAAAATGTTCTACCTGGTGCACTGCGCTGAGCATGTGTGTTTATATGCTACCAGAGAGGGGAAAATATGGCGACGGCAGGAGTTTCAGACGAGCGAGAGTAAGAGACTTGCTGTTTGGATGTCGAACTAAATGCAAAACAAAGGGTAGCAGTACCCTGAAATTATTCCACTTGTAACGGCAGTCTGGTGAGGAAGGAGCAGCTAGCAGGTCCAGCGGGCGTGTGGTGTGGAGGTTAGCCAGATAGCTCTAAGCCAGTCAGTTAAATCAAACAGCGTTACATCGGTAAGGTTTCTCCTGAGAACAGAACACGAGCAGCATGTTATAGCTGCCGCTGTACTCACACACCCACTAGGAGACAACAGTAGGGCAACCCCCCACCTAGTGGTGCTATAACACCATAAGGGTTATTAAACACTGCATAATTAAAACAGTCTTAAACTGCCCATCAACATCTCCCCACACACCAAAGAAAACGTTAATTAAACCAGCGGTGCCACACGTGACTGCTCTAGATCAGTCGTTTTTTTTAGTCACTATCTAGATTTTATTCCTGTAATTTGAGTTCATCACATTTTATATTTTATAAATTTTTATATCTTACAAGTAGCAAAGAACACCTTTTTTTTTTATTTTATTTTTTTTATTTCAATCGTTTTATTTTGTCTCGTGAATTCTTGATGTATTGTTTTGTTTGTTAAAGGTCTGCTGTTGACCACAGCGAGAGACTTACTGTCACAGTAATTGATGGTTAAAAATTGGTTAAAATAAAACATTTTATTCAGATTTTCTTGTATTTGAAGTAGGAAAAAAATACACTATATGGTTAAAAATAACATTTATTTTTCAAGGATATTTAAACATATTGTGATTTTTTTATATCATGTATTGCGATATAGCCCCCCCGCCCAAAAGAAATCTTGATATTAGGTTTTTCTCATATTGTCCGGGCCTAGGGTAGCAGCTCCGACACCTTTGTCCAAAGTCCTGCATGAACTCAGATTGTTGTTCTGTCCCCCCATCGTGGATATGACTGAAGAAACGATAAACCACGTGTAATTCTTTGATTAGTAGCTCTCATGAGAATCCTTAGCACATTCATACCTTACAGTAATTACAGTATGGCGCTTCTTTGGTGATGGTATACACAACACTGTTAGTGACTGCAGGAGTTCAGTGGTTTGTACTGATAAAGGACCGGAGACCATGTGTTCTAGCTGACAGGAAATTTGAATACAGATTTTTGCTGAGATATACATTTTTTTTCTGTGGAGATAATAAAATGATAACTGGGTGGTATTTTCAGTAGAGCAGTGTTTAAGTCCTTAACCTGTTTACACTCCCTGTTTCTACCTGTCCAGGTGCGATATTTGAGGAGAATGCAGTGCAGGATGATCAGGTGTTCCAGCTCGCCGTGTCTGACCTCAGTCTGAACGACGACATCCTGCAGAGTGAGAAGATCACACACTCGATTAAACTCATCGCGCCCAACAACCCTTTCCAGGCGGTGCAGGAAGGTAAGGCCGCTGCTGCGTTTACGTCACGTGATGGCGGGAGTGTCAGATGATTTTCGACCGCAGTGCTTTCTGCAGTTTCCTGCTTTCCTTGCTTCTTACACTCCTGCCTTGGACTGTTAATCTTTAGATTGTGCGGGTGCCGCCTCTCGCTGAGGTATCCTCACAGCTAATGACCCAGGTATCAACCTCCTAAATGCTGTTTAAATCACGGCAGCTGCAGCCGCTCTGCCAGAGCTCTCAGAGGACGCTGTTTGTCTTTCATGCAGCTCCACAGAGCCCGTCCTTTGCCTCTTCTTTCCTGTTTCTCAGGGTTTCCTCTGAGATTCATTCTCTCAGTCTTCTCTCTCTCCCTCGCTGTTTTCCCTGCAGAGGAAGCTAGGGGGAAGCACTGAGCCCAGCTGCACAGACGGCCTCTCAGCTTTGAGAGGAGCTCGTGTGGCTGTGAACACATTTGTTTATGTGTACGCTCGTGGCTGCAGAAAAGGCCATGATGATGTGGATGATGAAGCTCAGACTGGAGGATGCTGATTGTTTTGCTGCAGTTAATGACGATGATGTTGATGCTGGTGATGAGACGACTGTTGTGACGATAATGGATATAACTGGTATTGATAATGATGCTGATGAATGTTACGATGGTGCTGATTATAATGTGAGTGTCGAGGATGAGGATCCCTGCAGTGATTAGGATGACGATGATTAAGGGGTATTAATATGTGCGGGGGGGGGGGGAGGTGACGCCGTCGCAGACACGAAAGAGGATGAAAGCGTGGTGCTTAGGCTGGTATTGCCGTTCGAGGATGATGGTGATGATG